ATATAGGAGCTTTAGGGTTTAGGGTTTAGGGTTGATGACATAAATCCTGGGCATCACCTTAAGGACCCTAAACTATGGGAACAATGGCATATTCCTTATTTATGGCTACTGCAGGATGTTTCTCATCTACTGTACAGCTGTCATGAGGGTGTCAGAATAGGGCTGTGTTTTAAGTTTGATACGGGATGTTAGAAATTGATACTCCCTGAATAATAACCTGTATGCGATAGAAAGAATTGTATGGGATGCAGGTTTGACGACACGACACATTTAGTGTTTCAGAGAAACTCTACCGGTTGCTGGGGTGCTTGAGCCCGTGAGAACTCTACATCTTGCATCTACCCTACTCAAAATCCATGCACACGATAAACCCCAAGAGACGGACAAAAAGCTGGCAGGCGAAAGTAAACAAAAAAGAGCGCGGAAGCAAAGCCGCGCCTCCGGGATGTAGCGGAGCCACTTCCGCCAGTGGCGCTGCACTAAAACCACCTCCGGGGCGCTTCAAGCTTGCTGGGTTCTGAACAGAAAGTGTCGACCGCTCCTTCAAGGGTTCTACAAGGCCCTAAACCCGAAAACCTAAGCTTCTTCAGGAGGGGCTGCTGCGAGGATAAAACGGACTGAACCTTAGGGGCTCCTCGTCTGTGACACACCGCAATCCGAGAAAGCAACCCTTAGGGACCGCAAAAAGCACATAAGCATAAGCATTTTATGGGGATATCCCTACCTTGTTGGCCTTCCCTTTAAGGGGGTTTAGGCCTAAACCCTGAACCCTCAGAAATATCGCAGCCGGGGCCGGCACCCGCGCCAGGAGATGAAAGCGGCGACAGCGGACCAAGAACCTGCACTCAAAGTTGCCTTGAAAGGATCTCTTAAAGAGTCCCTTATTCAAGGATTAATTTGGTACTGCGTGTCATAGTACAAGGGGATGTCAGCATCAATTGTTTAGGGTGTTTGGCTTTGGGGAGGATTTGGGGTGTAGGGTCGCTTTAAAGGATTCAGGATGCTTTAAGGCTTCTGAGTTTTGGCCCCGGGTCGCTAGGATGAGGGTTCTCCGCGCTTGGGGCTTCGAATTTGGGGCGTTGTGCGGTGCAGTTTGCATCGGTTTGCTTAGGGCTCCGGGCTTGGGGTTTAGATGGGTTTAGGGTTTAAGGCTTAAAGCTTGGAGTTTAGGGCTTAGGATTTCTGTTTTGATGGGTTTCAAGCCAGGGGTGTCAAACTCTAAACCCCAAACCCTGGACCGTAAAGACAAGAACCCTACACACGATTCCCAACCCTCAATCACGAAGCCCCAAACCCGTAATCCTTCACCCCGAACTTCCAAACTAGCTCGAACATCAAAATCAAAACTCCTGCAAGCCCTTACAGGAGTCGGTCCTAAACAGGAACCCTAGCCAAACCCCCCAAGACACAGAGCAGTCAGCCCTCAAGGAAAAAGACGTCTTCAGGCGCGGCGCGTGCGACTCAGTGACTGAATCTTCACGAGCTGATGGTGTCGCTCCTGGCGGTTCAGGAGGGCTTTCAGAAGGTTTTGGGTTGAGAGCTTAGGGTTCAGGGGTTTGGGGTTCAGGGGCCTAGGGTTTAGGGTTCAGAGGTTTAGCGTTTGGGGTCTTGGGTCGTTTCCTTTTTGGGTTTTATAGGCTTTTTGCAAGCTTTTACAAGGGGTTTGTAATGGCTGCAGAGTGCTATGGTTGCATAGGGCTCTAAAATCGTTCAGAATGGGGTCTACAAGCTTTTGTATAGCTATGAATATAAAAATCCAAACGGGGTTTACAGGGTGCTGGGTTTCAGTGTATGGCGGAAATAAGAGCGTAGGGTGGTATGCGTTATGGCTGTAAGACATGAAGTTCAGAGGTTACGGTTCAGAGGTTTGGCTGTAGAGATGGATGAAGATGGAGTTAGGGGCTTGATCTGGGCAAGCAGAATTGACACGATTTCGGGGTGTATTGGGGGAAGCCAGACAAGAATACATGGTAAATCGTGGTGGTGGTGGTGGTGGTGGTGGTGGCAGAAGCACCAGTGGTCGTCTGCAGAAGTTGTATCAGCCAAAATTGAAAGGAAAGATGGACGCAACTACTCTAAACACTAAACGGCCAAACCCTAAACTCAAAGCACCTGGGGATGAGGGTTCGCGGCTCTAGGCTAAGCAGACTGCAAGCCAACTGTGATGCCTCTAAGCCACAACTGGACGAAATACCAAGCAAACTGGAGCCCTGCCCATCGGATTACCATAGCCATCCCCCACCCCACCGCTGACATGCCTAGACCATCAATGACTGCCAGAGTTCAAAACCGCAATGCGCGGCAGCATCCCCATGCCTTGCTATCTCAAAGCCCACAGCTGAACAATTCTCATAAGCCTCCCCAAAACCCTAAACCCCTGAACGCCCCAGACGTCCCGTTCTCCCTTCCAATTTCAATTCTTCCCGCCCCTGAACCCTAAACCCTGAACCCTAAACTAAATCCTGAACCTTAAACCCTACAGCCTAAACCCTGAGTCCTAAAGCCCCCTCCCTGCCTGCTCGTAGCGCTGGCAGCGCAGCCGATGCCCGCGCCAGATGCGCTGGATCGTGGTGGCGGCCTGCCCATTTCAGGCTGGTTTCAGGCTTTGTGTTTAGGGTATAGGGGGTTTAAGGCCTAGGGTTTAGGGGTTTTGGGCTTAGGTTTCAGGCTTTGTGTTTAGGGGTATGGGCTTTGGGGTTTTGGGTGGAGAGGTTCAGAGATTTAAGGGCTTAAGGGCTTAGGGTTCAAGGCTTAGGGGCTTCAGGGTTTAGGGGTTAGGCTTTATGGTGTAAGGTTCAGAGTTTCGGGTTGGGTTTGCCTCGCATTTTTCGGACTTCGGAGGAGTCTGACAGCAGATGGCCTCGACCTTGCGACGCCAGAAGGCCTTCACCTGCCGGGAGACTCACTGTGTGTGTGTGTGTGTGTGTGTGTTTTATTTATACACTTTTCTTGTTACTACGAAAATGTTACTATTAGTAGTAGTAGTAGTAGTAGTAGTAGTAGTAGTAGTAGTAGTAGTAGTAGTAGTAGTAGTAGTAGTAGTAGTAGTAGTAGTAGTAGTAGTAGTAGTAGTAGTAGTAGTAGTAGTAGTAGTAGTAGTAGTGTCATTCTTACTCCTATTACCGTTTGTACTGGTATTAAAAACTAAATAAGTGAAATATGTTGTAGTTACACATTGGGATGCATGCTCTCAACTTCTGCCAACCAGGGTTGTTCTTAGAATACACTATTGTCACTGTTGTTCCTCCGCGTGCTACATCAAGGGGTAAGCCACGGCCAGTGTTTCCACGCGGTTGTGGGAAGGGGAAGTGTCCGTGTCCTGTGGGTGCACACATCTTGCGTTGTGCGGCCGCGTCCCCCGGAAAGCCAGATCCTATGACAATTTCGATACATTGGCCTTGGTTTGGCTTGGAAATGGCTGAATCCGGCCCCCTTGTGGGCAGTATTCTGATCGTGCTCCTGAATCTTGCCAGTTTATGGTCGGAAGCGTTTGCGCCGTCCTGAATCCGCTACTTGAGCTGGAAGCGTGGTGCTCTGAATCTGCCAATAGGTCGGGGGAATCATGTTCGCGCGCTCTTGGATCCTACCAGTGCATGGCGCTCACGCCTGTGAATCCCGCCATTGCATCGGGGCACGCTTGTAGGCTGCGGTCTGGGGGTCGCGGTCGTTCTAGGCGTCGCGGTTGTAGTGGTCGTCTTGGTGGTCCCGGTGGTCATTGTGGCGGTGTTCGTCTTGGCAGTCGTGGTCGTCTCGGTCGTGCTCGTTATGGTCGTGGGTGCTGTATCAATGCGCTGGCGAGAGTTGCTAGGATTGCGGTTGCTGTTGTTGCTGCGATTGCTCTTCTCATCGTTATAACCAATGCTCCATTTATACGTCTGTTATATCTTCTGAAAACAACTTTTGTGGGGTTGACCTCCAATCCTGCAAACACCCCCTAAACACAAAACCCTGACTTAAACCTTAAAGCCTAAACCGGCTAACATCCTGCGCGAGTCCGAACCTTAAGAACCCACAAACCAAAAGGTGAAAAGGAGGGACCCTTAATTGGGACCCCTACCCTATATAATGGGTATATAATGGCTATATTAAGGGTATATTACCCAGGGGTCCTTATTAAGGGTCCCTCCTGTTCCCCTTGGAATAAACCTACCCCAAAAGCCCAAATCCTGAAAGCACTGGGTCACAGGCCCTAGTTCTGCACTGAACGCCCCTCGTGAGCCTCAGCCAACAAGCGTTGGCTGGCACGGCACTTCGGGAATTCTCGTTTCGTATATATCATACTACATCTTACTATACTATGAAGACATGATGCTGAAAGCGTTTGTGGGGTTGATGGGATTCATGGGATGCTGCAGGTGTTTCAAGGCGATGGCTACCGGGTGTCGAGAGGCCTTTGCACGAGTCTCTTGAACGCTGCATTATGCCTTCGTGTTGTGATGGGAGGCCAAAGGGGGGTTTAAGATTCTTGGGGTAGGGATTCCTTAATATGAACCCTATCATGAGAACCCTAATCCTACAACCTCTTTTGGCTTCCTATGTTATAAGGCTTTGGGTTTCAGGGTCTTGCCTTGGGACTTAGGTTTGAGGGTTTCAAGCTGTACCGTGGGGAGTTAGGATTAGGGAGACCCTTGGGGATATAGATCCTCTCAATAAGGCCCCTTTTAAGAGAGCCAGAAGTAGGGTTCAGAAGGGGTGCCCTTTAAGGGGTCTCCCCCTAATAATAATACCTAACCGTGGGGCATCTCTTATGTGCGAAAAGTTTTCTGCAGCCTGTTTCAGGTTGCGGCTTCATGGGGACTGGCAGCTTGCACGATCCTCCTTGCTAGGGCGGGTGTCAGGTGGGTTAAACCCTCAAATCCTGAAGCCTTAGAACCCCTAAAATTAAACCCTTAAGCACTTGAGCCGTAAAACCCTTGTTTCATTGGTCTTTAGAGCTTTCGGGCTTCTTTAACTTGTCTGCTTCCTGTTGAACTCTGCTGCACCCTCACTGGGGATCGCACGCTTGGATCTTCTGCGCGGCCTTAAAGCGCCTGCGGGTGCGAGGCGATGGAAATTCTTCATAGGCTTCTGATCAAGGTTCATAAATATTCGAAAGAGGTCTACAAAGGTTTTCGAAGATCTTAAACAATTTTCTGTAAGAGTTCGATTGAGGCTCTTGAGGGATTTTGGGGCTTGGGTTGCAGAGCTCTAAGGGTGTAATTGCTTTGGGCCTATGAGTTTAAGACTACTTCTAGCCTTCTAGACCCTTAGGATGGTCGTTCGAGCCTTGCTTCAGTTTGAAACCCTACACACTTATCTAACCCTAAACCTTAGCAGAAGAGGACCCTTTTCGTCGGAGCGGTCTCTACCCTAAAGCCTAAACCCTAAAACCCTAAAACGCTAAACCCTAAACCGTGAGGTTGAAGGGGCTTCTTCAGGAAGCCTCCCCACTTAACAGGCTTCCCCCCACTTCAGAACCCTAACACCTTTAGAACCCTGATAGAACCGCTTTACCGAGCCCGTAAAGGTCAAGGACCGTACAGAACCCTCATAGAACCCTGGAACCCTTGTAGAACCGCTTCAAAGAAATCTTAAAGCTGCAAATGCTTTCGTGGGGACTCTCCGCCTCCGCGCTTTCTCGAACTCCGCGCGGGCCTTCCGCTTCCGTCGGCCAGTCACCTTACGATGGTTCGCTAAAGGCGAAAGTATGGGCAGTGATGATTATAGTTTCATCTCATCTGCAATGATTCAGGGTCCTTATGATAAGGATCCTACTAATTGGGGTACTATATTAGGGTCCCCTATTTTCTGGAACTACACGGGGACGCAAGTTGCCTTCTTCTTTAGATCTGTGACTCGGGGCCTCGGATTGAGGCGTCTGCAGGGTTTAGGGCTTAGGGTTCTGCAGGTCTTTTTTTTGAGGGCCTTTTTCCAGCTGCAGTACAGTGGGGGTTCTACAGGGTTTAGGGTTGAGGGCTTGGGGTTTTGCAGAAGTTTTAGAAGAGTTTTGTAAGGGTTTGTTCAATACAGGGGCGTTCAAGAAGAGAATTGGGACCTCGAAGGATCCCAAGACAGAGGGGCCTTCTTACCGATTATGAAAGGGTTCTGGGGAATGTCGTGGCATAAGCTTTTCAGGACTACGAAGAATACTGATAATGCTCAGCATTCAGGTTTTAAAGGGAGTCTACTGGGATTTAGGGCTTCCTGTTCGCCTCAAACGGCTTTGAAACTTTGGGGTTTGGGGCTCAGGATTTAAGGTTTGGGTGGTTGTCAAAATTCGGGCTCCTTTTTGGGTACTAAATATTAGGTGCCGGGAAATAGTAGGGATCCAAGAAGGGACCCTAATTTTGACAACCACCTATTTAAGGTTTGGGGGTGTCAAGGCTTTGGAGGTGCAAGGTTCGCGTTTGCTTTGGACTTCGGGTTGGTTTAGGGTTTAGGGTTTAGGGTTTAGGGTGGGATGGAAGCTTTTAGGCATTTCCAGGTTTAGTGTTTGAGGAATGGGTGTGTCAGGTTGATGGCTTACCTCTGAAGCTCTCATAAAACACTTGGAGGATCATGGGACTTAGTAAGTAGGGTTATAAGTACCTTAATGTGGGTTATAAGTAATTATAAGTACAGTTACCTTAATTATAACCCTAGCTACTAAGTCCCATGACCCTTTAAGTACAACAAGGATCAGGAGGAGTCGCGGGGAGGTGTTGCGATTCCTGCCGGGGCCCGAGCGGCGCTTCTGGCCAGCCAGCCCCTGACGTTCCTGCTGTGGATGATACATATCTTGCATTACCTTTAGGACCCTAAACTATGGGAATTATGGTCTATTCCTTATTAGGGGTCATGCAGGATTTATATCATCAACCGTGCCACGGGGGTCTTTCCCCCCCTCCCTAGAAGAATGGGGTCCGGGATTGAAAATACGGCTTAGGATTTGGAATTTAGAAGGGTTCTGATTTAACATTTACGCTTTGGGGTTTGGCTTGTAGCAACTTTAGGTTGAAGGTCCAACATTCAATTTGATCTGTAGGGCTTAGGATTTGAAATTTCGATTTTCGGGTTTGCCAGTTCGGGGTCCGATATCCCGTGTGCTCTAATCCGGGCAACTCTCTTAACTGCCGCCGCTGCATTCCGAGAACACATGCGTATACTATGGAAAAACCGTGCGGGCAAACAAGACTAGAGCGGTTGACTTTTTCCACAACAAACTTAGGAGGTTCGGAAAACGCTTCTACATTATATGAGCTGAATGTTATCAAGACACCATGACCATGTTAGGGTACCGGAAACTTTGAAACAACTCCTGAATACCCCAAGATCAGCTGAACTCCAAAAGCATAACAGCAGAGCCACGCACAGAATCATAAACTTTACTTTGGACTACACCCAAAAGCTCCAAACCCTAGAGCCCTGAACTGTGAACCCTTGGAACCACTTATCAAACTCCCATACCACTAAAGGTCCTAGAGTACCCTTCGACAACTTTTGTAATTCATACAAAAGCTATGTTTTGTCAGGGGTATGGCGCATTCTGGGTTTAGAGTTCAGGGGAAACCAAAAACGAAAATTGCAATGAACAATGAAGAAGTGTTAGTATAGCACATCGATACGGTATAGTAGAAGCGACTGTCGCCGATTACCCTTTGTTAGTATCAAAGGGTAAAAGGAGGGACCCTCAATAAGGACCCCTAGGTATATACCCTTCATATACCTGTTATATACCCCTTATATAGCCCATGATAGGGCAGGGGTCCCCATTAAGGGTCCCTCAGTTTCCCCTTTGATAGTAACCTTACCGGCACCCACAGAGGCCTCTGGATGATGAGTGCTGCTGTCTCCCGTGACCACAGGCGTTCGTACTCCATCTCCCACCTGCGGTTTAGGGTTTAGGGTTTAGGTCTACTTGCCTCTTCGCCCGATTCGCCGCCGTCGGGTCTGCTTCAGGGATCTCGGGTCGAAAACTTATAGACAACGCGCAGAAGTGCCGTGACCGGGGTGACAAGCAAGTTAACTCTTCATAAAGCGAAATGGGAGCTTCCGAAAATAGGGGACCCTAATATAGTACTCTAAACAGTAGGATCCTCGTTACAAGGACCCCAAAATAAGACACCCCTAAGTTTCGGAAACTCCCAAATTGTTTATAACTTTATGACCCAGGTTTGGAAGTCCAAGATCCTTCAAGTAGAGTTGTGGTTGCAGGGTTTCAAGTCATCGGATTCCGTTTCGTCTACCGAATCGCGCCGCGATGCGTCAGACCCGCCTGAGCCGACCCATGTAGCCTCGCCAACACCGCTGAATCTGCGGCGGACAGGGCTATATGAGGGTTTAGGGCTTTAACTGTAGGGCTCACTGTGCACTACACGCTAACCCTGGAAGCTTGTCACAAAACCTCCGCGCTAAACAAATCGAAGAAAGCCGTGAGTCGTGAAGCAGGTGTTTTGCTCAGCATCCCCACGAGTCACCCAGGTACAAGATACAGCCACGGATTACTGTTCGCTTCTTTCCTGTCAACCCCGTCGAAGTCGCGAAACAGAAGCTCGCATTTCAACGCAGGGGCCTTCTTAATTAGAATAGCGCTTTGAGGGAAGTGCTACTTCAGCTATCAGACCCATATATCCTAAGAGCCCGTAAAGGAACAAAACAGAGTGCCTGGCCACAAAGCCTTCGCCAACCTTGACCCGCTGAACATCAATGTCCAAAAAGCCGCCTCAACCCATGTACATGTCTGCGAGCTCCCCGGGAGGGTTTTACATTCAGAACCTACAACAGCAAGGTAGGCTCCAGTGAGTTATAAAAGTGTTCGGAACCTACGAATTCTCGGCACGAATTACCGGCCTCTACCGCCGCCCACAAGCGCTGCTCCGTCTGCAGGGCGAGGAACAAAACCATCGGGGTCCAGGGTACTTGCAGATCTCGAAGCTTGGAGTCAGGGTCTCGAACTCTCGTGGAGTTTGTTGTTTGGGACGCAAGGCGCTAGATTCACAATGCTGTGTGAGTCTAACATCCGGTTCGACAAAGGCTTCATTGTTCTTGGACCCACTATAGACTATAGCGGACCAACACTTTGGGTGCCGTAGAGTATGAGCATATTCTGGAGCGACCTGGAACCACAAAATCGGAAACCCTAAGCCACAGATCCCCACACATGAAACCGACATTCATATCAGATCCAAAGCCTATTTCGGTTCGAATCGCTCGCGCATCCCTTCCATCATTTACCCGAAAACCAGAAACAATGCTTCTTGAAATCAACTCTTCAACTTTCGAGCCCTAAACAAAAAAATCGAAACTCGAAACCCCTAAACCCTAAAACCTAAGCCCCAAACCCTAAATTTTAAGCCCTAAACCCCTAACCCTACACTTGCTCTGGAAATTTCTGCATAACAACAATCACTGAGAGCATGCTGCAAAATCTTTCATACGGTTGATGATATAAATCCTGCATTACCTTAATGACCCTAAACTATGGAAACGATGGTATATTCCTTATTATGGGTAATGCAGGATTTATATCATCAACCGTAGTAGCCTTTGCTAAGTTTACCATTATTACTATTATTGGCAGTGGCACTACTAATTACTATCTAACAGGAACTTTCCTGTTACGATGTGGCATCTGAGGGTTGTAGCACAGAGCCCTTGTGCTTGGTGAGCTCTATCTCAGGCTTGAGAGTTTGCAAGCTTTCCGGGTGGGGGTTTACGACTAGGGCGCTTAAGACTTGAGACCTTTCAGCGGGTTTGGCTTTTGAGGTTTCAGCGTTAGGGTTTACGGGTTTAGGGGTTTAGGGTTTGTCCAAGCATCTTAGGTGTTGGACAACGTTGAGCAATCCCACCTGGATGGCGTCTCGCCACATCCTGTCAACTCAGAGGAGCTTAATGCTCCTCCGAAACGGGACTTGCACAAAAGTTAGGGGTACCTTATTTTGGGGTTCTTATAATGAGGATCTTACTATTTAGGGTACTATAGTAGGGCCTCCTATTTTCGGAAACTCCGAAACAGGCGTAGTAGATGTGCTTGTGGGCCCTGCAGTAAACCCTAACCCTAAACCCTGAACCCGTAAGCCGCAGCCCTAAACCCTAAACCGGACACCGAAATACTCTAAGGCCGCCGATCCTTCAAAGCTCCCACCTTGACATCGTCGGGGTGTTTAGGGCAGCTCAAGCACCGGGAGATCCGGTGTTCTTAATTTGGGTGGTTGTCAAAATTAGGGTCCCTTTTTGGGTCCCTATCATAGTACGGCACCTATAATTTAGGGTGCCCTAAAAGGGAGTATAATTGTGACAACCACCCATTTGGGGATAGTAAATAACAAACAGGTCATCCCCAAACTTGAAACCCAACTAGATTCAGAGGGCCTATATACATCACTTTTCTAGAAGCATCGCGGACTGAAGACGACTGGTGGGAGGATTCCTCTATAGTTGGTTGCTTTTATTTTAGGGCATGAGTATAGGTATGCTCAAGCTTTCTGTCCATTTTCTCTTGGAATTTCTCGAACGAGTTTGGTCATAATTATAGGGCATTAGCAAACAGTAACATTTGCATAAGGAACGTCCCGTGTAAACAAGAAAGTCCTTCCAGATGGACAGCCTTAGGTAGGGCCGATGTTAGTACAGAGTTCAGGGTAGGGGTTTGGCTTCAGGAGCGCAAATCAAATCCTTCGCGGAGAGCCACGCAAACATATAATTAGCCAAAAAATGGCTTAAATATGGCTTGCAGGGCACTTCATTTTTCAGGGCCCCGAAGCGCGAGGGTTCAAAGGGATTTAGGCTTGTGGTGTTAGCTTCCCAAAGAATCAGGAACCCCTCACTAGCCGTGCTCAGTGGCCTCAGCCTGACGAGGTAGCCGCGGGCATAGCGCCTGAGCTTTGCACATTGGAGCAGGTGTCAGCGCTTCAGACGGCTTTGGCTTTGGGGCTCGAAGCTTAGGGTATAGGGGATCGGGCTTAGCGCTTCGGTTGAAAGGCGCATTTCCGACTGCATAGGCTTAGACCCAGCAGGTTCATGTCACATGGCTACGGCTATCGTCAAGAACTCATCGGCTGAAAAGGTCTGTATCAGGTCGGAAGGGGCGTTCTTGGAAAGTTGTTGCTGCCTGTATTAGGGGTTGGACACAACTTTGACTGCAGCTTCCTCATTTCCAGTTGTACTCTAAGGTAGGGGCCTTGGTAACTGGAATCGGGTTTTTGGGGGGTTCCTTCTTATGGTAATAGTGCAAAAGGTACCCCCAGACCCTAGTCTACTTATTAAAGCCCCAAAACTGTAGCACCCTTATAGTAACCCCTATATACACCCCTTAAGAGGGAACCCTTTAAGGGGAACCCTACTCTACTTATTAAGGCCCCCATATAAAAAGTACCCATATAGATCCCAAAGAGTAACCATTAGTCCCTCTTCTATGTTGGAGAAGCCAAAAGGGGGTTTAAAGATTCTTAGGGTAGGGATGCCTTAGTATGAACCCTGTTATGGCAACTCTAACCCCTGCTAAACCCCCATAGGCTAAAACCCTTTGTGGCCTCCTCTGATCTATGTTGGAGAAGCTCATTGTACCCATATAGATCCCATGTAGTAACCCTTATAGACCCCTTTAAAGGGACCCTCTAAAGGGAACCCTATTCTACTTATTAAGGCCCCTATACTATAGCACCCTTATAGTAGCCCCTTTATAAACCCCTTAAACGGGAACCCTTTAAGGGGAACCCTATTCTACTTATTAAGGCCCCCATATAGAAAGTACCCATATAGATCCCATATAGTAACCCTTATAGACCCCTTTAAAGGGACCTCTTCTATGTTGGAGAAGCCTGCCAGGGCCGTTGCTGGAGCGTGACCACGGAGTCCACATGATTCAGGAACTCCTGGACTCAGGGTTTAGGGTCTTGGTTTTCTTTTAAGTGCAATGGCGTCTTTCTGTTGCACAGGGGTTTAGGGTCCTATGTACCGGTTTAGTAGAATGTAGAGTTTCCATATTAGGAATTACTGTTATGACTTAGGGAAGTATCCCCCATAACAGCACATAGGACCCTGTTAAAAGGAACTTCTTCAAATTCGGAGCTCCCCCATTTTTCGGGGTTCTCGAACATGAGAACCCTTCCCCAAACGGCAAACTCTAAACCAAGTCATCTTATTGTGGGTAGGGGTGGTGGGGATATGCGGCGGCTTTTGCAACCCTTCTCTCGGGCGTCTCGGTGCCCCAATTCCAAGCCCTGTATCCTAAATCATCCTATGAAAAGTGCCGCCTCCAACCCTTAAAATCCCTTGTAAGGATTTGCTTCTGGGGGCCCGCGAAAACTTATCTAAACATCTCCAAACTTATCTAAACTTGGGCCCCTCCAAACACTTCGGGTCCGAAGCCCGGACGCCTACTCAAAGGATCATGGGCTGGGTTACAGAGTGGTCCGCTGCTTGAATTAACCCTTGGCCCTGAACCCCTAAACCTTCTCCTCTAAAATACTGAAGAGAACTCTGATTTTTTGAGATGATAAGGGTTTTGAAGGGTTTCGGGTCAGGTCAACCAAGTTTTGGGCATATCCTGGCCCTAAACACTAAGGTTCGAAGTTTGCCGGATCTCGAGGTTTATGGTTTGCGGCTTCGAGGGGGGGGGGGGATTAAGGGCCTAGGGCTGGGGGCTCCTAATGGATACTCCGACTTTCGGATCCCTAAACCCTAAATCGTCGTCGGATCACTATAGAGTTGCAAGAAACTTTACACCCAACAAAAAAATCTGACTTCAGGATTCCAAAAGAGGTCAGCTTACGTTGCAAAACCGCTGCTCCATGGGGCTTTCTTTGCTGTACTTCGTAAGGGCTATGCACAGGCCTCGATACAGAAGATGGGGTTTGGGGCGTAGTATACTAAAACTGATAGGTATCTTATGATGGATACAGTTACTAGCAGTATCTTATGAACCAGAAAAGGGAACTATTGCGAACCATTCCGATCCCTTCTGAAGGGAAAGGAGTCCTCTTTGCTTCGAAGGCCTCAGGCTGTGCAGCCTAGAAGAGTCCGCCTTTCTGACTCCTCTGATGGTGAAGTTTCGTCGTTATCATCAACGTCAAAGGCCTTGGGTCGTGGTATTGTGGGGTGCTTCCACTCTGGATACTGCTCCAGTATTTGCAAAGCTTCCTGGGACACCCACCACCCATAATCATAATATCCAATCAGTAGCCGGACAGGACGGTTTACATAGTCCAGAAGCAGAGCCGCAAACACAAAAACTGCAATACCGTGAAAGGACCATGTCCAGCACTCCTGGAGCACATCTTCCCTGTGATGCCAGAATGCGGGGACTATGCGGAGAGTTGAGGATATGCCGCATGGCCACAGCAAGAGATACCAAAACAGGTCGCGGAGCGGTGAGAGGTCAGAAAGAATCGCGCAGAAGTCTCTCTGGATCATCCTGTTTCGCCAGTAGCTCGCTGAGTAAGTGAAGCGCAGGCAGAGGCCCAAAGGAGAAAAAGCTGCAAGCAGGGTCAAGCACTTCATCACTCCCATGATCTGAAATGACCACTCCTGTGTCGTGGCAACTCCCATCATCATGCAAAAGAGAGGGCCGCTGGCAAGTGTCGCAACGACAGTATGCTGCACGAATATCCACGCCCATCGCAACCTCCGAAGCAAGTAGAACAGCTGGCGTTTTTCGTCTGAGTTCAACTGTGGTCGTGGGGCGGGAGCACGGTAGCGGTCACCGTGTAGTCCGATTGTCAGCAAGGAACCTGTGGGATGTAAAGGTGCCGTAGCATGAACCACCCTAAATGGCACATCGTACACAACTGCATATAGATAGTCACCATGAAGGACCGACAGCATCAAGCTGGTTAACTTGCTCTGAGTTGTGTACCAGAGAAGGCATGCGGGCACCACCGTCAGGAGAACATTTCCAGCCTGCAGTTGGTAGTAGCACGCCAAGCCTTCGCTTTCTCTCTCCACCGACGTAGAGATGAAGACTTCTGAAGCACCTACCGCCCACAAAAAGGCGCCTACGCAAGCGACGGCCTGAAGAATCCAGGACGTTATCCCAGTTTTCAGGGTTAGTCTCTCCTCCACCTTGCCAGAAAGTAAGGCCCAATCATGCACAACTTTCAGCAGGGCCCACAAGAGAACGCATGCCAAGCTGATATTTCTGCAAGGGCCACCACCGAGATGGTCGCGAATACTGTCGAGGCTAGCTGGCTCTTCACAATACCCCTTCGTCGCATACTCATTATTTGGTAGCGCGGCCACCTTGGCCACCTGAAAACTGAAAACTGCTGGAAGGTACGCATAGAGAAGTGGGATGGAGTTGAAGAAAGACAGACTTGGAGAAGCAGCCCGAATCCCATGGCCATTCTCCACCGATACGTACATCGGCAACCACGAGGACCAGCCAGACGCCGGGCTCGTAATATTTACAGCACTCCGCTCTACGTTCAACACCGTTGTCGCAGGCATATCAGAAGTTTCGAAATACCTGATGAAGCTGCATGCTGCTTCTGCGGTGCAGGCCACATAATCCGAGGGTTTCCTCTGCTGGATGAACACGGCCACGAAAGGGTATGAGGTAAGGCTGGTGAGCATCATGCATTTCAGGTATTGCAGCATGGCACAACCTCTGTGTGCAACGCAAGCTCACGGATGCTCACGGCTTCGGACGATTTCCCAAAGGAAGCTTTCGACTGCTGCTGGCTCCAAGTTGTGGAATCCATTCGAGGGTGGGGGCTCATCTATGCTGCGTAGGCTTCCCTTGTTGAGGGGTTCTTCACACTGAGCAGTCTACATGTTGGCTCGTTGTCAACATTGAAGCTGTCTGCTTTGCCCTACATCTGAGCCCGAGGCATCTCCCTCCCTAAACCCTAAACCAGGCCTGTCGGAGCTGCAGATAGCGCCGTCGGTAGATGTAGCCCAACCTCCGCATCCCATCACCCAACTACAGACCTGCAGCAACCAGAAGAATAACAAGTATGATAAGAAGCATCATCACAAGGACCCCTGGATGAGGCACCGAAGCACCAGCGGTGTATCTTCACTCCTGAGAGTGCTGGTATGGGCCGTGGGATCTCAGGCCTACGGGTTACAGGGCCGAAACTTTGGGTAGTCCTTCAAAAAGCTCGTGCCCTGAACCAAATCCCGCGCAAAGCCCTTCGGACGTGTAGCAAGCCGTAGCAGTGGCAGGAGCAGCAGCGGCAGCAGCAGTAATTGCATAGGAGCCTGTACAGAGTCGGAGTCGTGAGCGTGGAGGCAAGGGTGGAGGTCGTGATGTCGATTGGTGGCGTTGAAGGACAACAGAGACGGAAACAATCATGCTAGGATCACCATGCTGGCGATGATGAGGGAATCCAATTCACAGTAGGGAAAATTCTTGCAAGAGAGTTCTACCGCCGCAAGCATCATTCAAGTCCCAACCCGGAGAACACATTGCAAGTTACAAGCGACTGGTCCATTCCAGCAGTTGGCTTTGAGCTTTAGGCGTGCCACTGAAAAAGATTCGACAAATTGGAGGGCTCCGAGAATCAATCAGTACAGTGCTTGGGACTTCTGCTGTCGATCCTGTATGGTAAGCCTGCCGAAGTGCATCCAACCCTTTAAGCCCTAAACCCTAAAATCTGAAACCCAGAACCCTAAACCCTAAACCCCCAAACCCCAAAGCCTAAAACCTCAAATTACTTGCAGATGGGCCACCACATCTTACGGATTCGAGTGGCCGCGTCGTCCGACACCTTGTCAGCAAACATGGTTTAATATAGGGGCCTCAATAATTAGACTAGGGTTTTGAGGCCCATTATACTATACGAATAACAACTAGGAACCCCCAAATAAATCAATCTCGATTTAAGCCCTTCTATTAGGCTTTTTTGCATCCTAGGGTCCTAGGACAAGCTCGCATAGCAAAGTCGTTCCGGGCTTCCTTTCTTTAAACCTCACCGAGAAGATTTGGGCTTATGTTGGAGAGCTGGGGTTTTTGGGATTTGGGGTTTAGGGCCTATAAGCCCTACATCCCCAAATTATCCGAAACTCCAATCAAACCACGAAAGGGTTGGGCTTATGGTTTGGGCTTTGAGTGTCGTGAGCGCTCAAAAGGTTATGCTCTGGGCGGTGATTCGGCGCCTGGAGCCCTTTGGGCAGCACAAAGAAGGCTCGGAGTGTTTAGAGTTTAGGAGTTTGGTGTTTAAGAGGGTTTAGATCGTAGGGACTAGGGTTTAAGGTGATCGCTAAGGATGTTGGAGCCTCCAGCCCTAACTGAATGCACATCCTGCATGAATCCAAGGACCAGCTTGGTGGGAGGTCAAGTAATCAACTAGCCTTGAAACACACAATCCTGTAAGGGCTTCCAATGGCGTCTCGGATACAGTGGGGTTGCAATGGCACCGCATCTTCGGGTTGGCTGCGGCAACATCTCGTTAAAGATTGCAACGAGGCTAATGGCTCAACCATCTTGCACGACGAATCTCTGTCCGGTGATAACACTTTCTTTATATATAGTTGCCCCAAACTCTCACACAACGCACAAACTTCACCATAAAAGCTAGAAGCAGACCTATATACATTGAACCCCGAACCCTGCTTAAAATCTTCGATCCGGTTATTCTGACGACTGAAAGCTTAGCATAGCCGCATGCTCTGAGGCCAGGGCATGCAGCCGCGCAGCACGCCTGAACTCTGGAGGCATCACAGCACCCCAGTGTTGTTCGTTTGGGAGCGTACTCGGTGCAATGGTTGAGCAGGAAGGGGAACTTTTACGTGTGTGTGTATATATATACACACATACACAGCGCGTAAATTGAGAAGCCTGTCTTAGCAGGTTAAGTTGAGTATTTAGGTTTGCGGGTTTAACATTGAGGCAGCACATTTCCCTCAGGTTCATTGGCTGTGCTCGTGATGAGAAATCACAGCGTTTCTCGCCCCGCGCAGGCGTACGCCCGGGGAGCTTTGCCACAGGGAAGACTCAGAAAATAAGGGCCGTTATTATTGAACCGCAAAAGCAACTACCCGAGGAGCGATACAATCGGGTGAAAGTGTTTGGGTTTGCAAGCGTCTTGGGATATGTATTGTCAGAAACGAAACTATGGCAAAAAGGATGATTATATTCCTCCGGATGATCCGGAACCCCCAAACACTGCGATACCAGTGCGCCTGCAAACAAGGCCTCAAACAAGAGCGCGCCACTAGTACAAAATCTTCAAAACCCCTCACAAGCCAAGGCACATCTTCGCTACTTTCGTCCGGGCCATGTGACGTCTGCATAAAGCCTGGTAGTTCGGGCTAAGCGTCAGGATTGCCCTTCAAGGCTTACAATTTTGCATGCCATGGTTTACGAGCTCTTTTAGGCTGAATTAGCGAATTTGCGGCTGTAGGCTGAACCCGAAACTTAAAACGCATTAAACCCTACAGGCCCGAAACCTCCAGGCTAAGCTTAAACCCTAAGAAATAGAAACACTTCGATTTGTAATCTTGACGCTGGTATATGTTTGGTGTGCCGCTGTGCCCGAGTTTTCCTTCAAACCTGCGCCCAATGCCGAGCTTCACGATCTCATCGTCGTGAAGCAACGCGGCTCCGGAGGCTGGAGATCATAGCCGAGTTGATTTTGGTGCGGCGTGAGGCCATGGCCAATCGCAACGCCGTTTGGGCAGTGTGCACACAGCACCGTGCAGCTGTCGGCCTGCTTGAGCATCTCCGCCTGTTCAACGGCCATCTTCTTCGGGAGGGCTTCGCTTTTGGGTTAGCCGTGTTCGTTCGGGCACACATGTGCGTATCCATGCGGGTGTTTGCGCAAGCCAAAACACCAGATCGGCGCCGTCAAAAGTCCAACGAAACAAAGGCATTAGCAACCAATCGTTTCACCACCTCTTGAACCATACCCAACATGGCGAGTCGCTGCTCAATGGCAAGCACACGGTGACGGCTTCCAACAACTTTCGCAAGCTCGTGCTAAACAACGGCCGGCACTCTATTTAGCGAGTTGCTGCTCGTGACGCCTTCAGTGACATGCTGCTCAGTAGAAAGCGCATTATGACGACTTCAACAGAAATTCTCAACCACGTCCTAAACAACGGCCGGCACTCCAATGGGTTGCTGCTCAATGGAACGAAAGCACAGCGTGACGCCTTCAACATTTTTCGCAACCACGTCCCAAACAACGGCCGGCGCTACAGTGGTTTCTTATAGAGGGTTTAGAGTCAGAGGTACGTGATGGAAGGGTTTGCAGCGGGAGCACAAGAAGTTTTAGAAGAGCTTTTTGTGCAGGATTGCTGCGTGCCTGCGCGCTGGTCTGTCTGCCTGCTTGCCGTGGGCAGGAACCCAAAGTGATGAAAATGACATGGTAGAGCACGAAAATAGCGCTGCCAAAAATACCGCCACCTTCAGAAATGACAGTCTACCTTTCGACGCTGCCGCGCCGTCTTCATTCAGCCGGAATGCGTCCGCCAGGGCATCCTGGCACTCGGCGTGGTATCCGACGGAGTAGATGTCAATGGCCACGGTTTGAAAGGAAGCGACAGCACAAGGTCTCAGATTGAGCCAAAGACTTCGGAGACACCTTCGCCGGGTCCTGCTCCTCCGCATTCTCTGCCTGGGCCCGCGCCTCTTCCTCTGCCAGTCGGGTTCGCTCGGCTTCAGCAGCCAACATGTCCTTCACCTCCTCCTCTAAGGCCTCCACATCGACGGCGTCAACTGCAGCGGCGGTGTCCCGCACTATCTTGAGGAGACCTTCGTGAAAACTCTCAGGTTCGAAGGAACATCGGACGACCTCTCGCATCGAGGAGTTGGCAACCCATCTCACCCCCGGATTTTAACGAATGTACCAGTCCTGCTTGGAAATCGACATGATTTCGTTTGTCCAGTCCCAAACGTCTCAAGACGGCAGCCTGTCGTCAAAAAAAAGCAAAATTTGATGAGCGAAAAAACTCTCGCGATGCTCCTCAGAGTACGGCTGTCATCATCGGCGATACTGTCACTTTTACCCATGGCCAGAACTCAGGGCTTTTGCTCGCTCCATGCCGGGAAAACGTCGCTGTAGCAGACAGCCCCAGAGCGCACCGTCCTGTCGCTGTCCTGCACCTGAAGACTCCATCCGACCCTTCCTTTCTGGGAGGCGGTGAGCCCAGGACGAGGAATGGGTCGATACTCCGCAGAAAACAAGCCGCCCTGCTCCTCTCGTCTGACTCCTGGTAGGACCGGTGGCGGGCGTTGGCTTCCGAAGCCGCCCTGGCCGTGTGCGCTACTCCAAAAGCTGAAGAGAGACACAAAGCAGCAGCTGCCTGGCCTGCGGAGGCTGACTTTGGTTTTGGGCACCAGCGACGGTGGCCCGATGCAGCAACGATGGCCCAACCACCGCCCACATCTGCAGCGGCAATGCCTCGCGCTCCAAACGTGTCCCATAGCAACAAACAAGTTTCGACGCCAACCACTGTGTTCACGTGTCTACACTCATGCTCATCCGCATCAGGCTTTTGCTCAGGGCCCATTCGCCAGCCCGCGACAGTCTGCTACAAAGCACTTTGTAAACCTGAACAACACACCTCGAAATCAACGTCTTGGCGCTTTGCACTCTCGGGGGAAGACCATGACAGCAGGAAGCTACGCACAAGGCCACAAATTTGGCGCC